AGAAAACCCTTCATATCTTTACGCATTCAAAACCATTGACCGTAGCAATGCGAAACCTTAAACAGTGTCTTCGACAACTTTAAAAACTTTTACCTTCAAATTTAGGTCAAGGTCAAAGGTCAAGGTCCTTCAAAACACATATTATTAGGTCTTTCCACCTTTCTGTGGAAAGATCTCTTGAAATGCTTATGATTATTATTATTCTTTTTCCGCCGGACTTTTGAAATTGCAAGACTTATCCAAAAACTTTGTAGTTCATGATACTGGATATCAAAAGTTATTCTGAAAAATGACCCAACGTATTTGAACTTTTACCCCTTACTCAGTTACTACCCCTTTTGTCGTAAAGCTTGTTATCGCTACTCCTCTGAACCCGTAAACCGCAGAGTTTCCAGACCTTAACCTATGTCTACGACTTAATTAGTAGACTTCAATCCTTCATTGCGAAAGGATTCGTAAACTCCTATGATGAGTTATTGCCCCTGAATGTTTGCGATGTTTAGGAATATATAAATCTTTTCTTAAACAATGTGTCATAGAGACATATGGCCAACTGCAATAGATTCTTTAACCTTTGACCTTAAAATTGAGGTCAAGGTCAAAAGTCAAGGTCATTCAAAATATGAAAAATTAAGCTCTTTTTATACCTCTTTGGTTCTTTGCCAAATTTTAAACATGTTTGCATCTTCAATATGTACTCTTAAAACCATTGCAGAGATTTCATTCTTGTCCCCTAAGATTGACCCCTCTAAAAGTTATTGCCCCCTTCATTGTAAACCCTTGTTATCGCTACTCCTCCAAAACCGTAAACCGTAGAAGTACGAAACCTTCAACAATGTCTGCGACTAATTTAGAACACTTCTCATTCCATTAGTACGAAAGAATTCGTAAACCATTTTAAGTAGTTATTGCCCCTGCCAGTTTATGATGTTTACGAAGAACTAAAAACTTCTAAACAACAAGTTGTAAAGACATGGGCCCAACTGCATGAGATCTTTTGACCTTTGACCTTGAAGAATAGGCCAAGGTCAAAGGTCAGGGTCATTGGAATACTATAGAAATTGTCGATTTAAGGTATAAAAATCCAAATGACCTTGACCTTGATATTTGACCTTGACCTTTGACCTTGACCCCTTACTCAAAAAGTAATAAAGAAATATTCATTACCTTTATCTAGATTCATCTTCAAGTGTTAATCTCAAGTTTATCTCTCTCCTTTTTTTTTTGATGACCTTGACCTTTGACCTTGATAAATGACCTTGACCTTTGACCCCCTATTGACCTAAAGGTCACAATCAAGCTAAAGGTCGTCGAGGTATTTTCAACTCTTACTTTAACAAATGCTTATACCCCCCCCCTTTTTCTTAAAAAAAAATCAACAGCAGCATAGAGAAAATGTCTACAAGTCAAAAGACACGATGTATCGTCATAAGATTCGGAGTATAAGCAAGAAGAGACCTTAAAAAAAGTGTCCTGAGAGTTTTAAGGTGAGTCTCTAAAATATTGTGAAATTCTAGCGAAAATCGGCAACATCTGCATTTTTTTTTCTGTCTGAAATTATCTATTGCTGAGCATAAAAATTAATTAAAGCCCGTATTAGCTATTTCTGCAATTGTTGTTAATATCATTCGATTCTCCTGCTCTATTACGACATTTTAATGCCAAGTATTCTTGCTTTCTTTAGAGTATGGAATTTATTTCAATTTTATTTGGATTTAATATTAATGGAATGAAACTTGATTTCATCTGAAATTTGATTTTTTTTTTCCCCTAGAATAACACAATCCCAAGAAATAGCGACTTTCAGCATAGTAAAAAGAAATACACGTTTCTTCCCTGAGTTTCCCATCTAGAATTACAAGTTTGGATTTTTATTTATGCTACTTACATTGAATTGCATGCCTATTTCGGTCCAGAATGTTAAAACCCGAACCCGATTCTCTGTTTTCCTTTTCCATAATTACAATCTGCCTTGCATTTCTCGCTCATGTTTCTCACATGCTCTTAAATAATTTATTGCCATCCATTTCAAACATAAAACAACTCAAATCGGATATTTTCACACATCTATTAATACATGTATAATGCACATATGATGCAGGTACACATGGGACATTTCACGATGTTTTCACTTACGCTTCCGTCTTGATGCGCAGATCAAATGCATGTGATTCATATTAATAGGTATATCATAATTTTAATCAGACCCTACCCCTTACATCTTAACTCGAAAACAATCTCATTCAAGTTCATACATACACCTAGGAGCGTGTTACAATGTTTTTTATGTGCTCTCTTTGCGTGATCAATGAATTCGTGATCAATGAATTCGTGCTTATCCCCGAGTCGACTCGTATAAACCAGGAAGTCTGTTCAGAATATATTTATACCAACTGCGAGCCCGATCTAAACTCCTAGTAGAGAAATGAGAATTTTGCTGTTTTATTTATTTTCTTGCTTTTTTCCTACTTTTTTCAGCCCAAATGATATTGAAACACTTAAAAAGGTGGAAAGACGTCTCATTGTTCTCTGAACAATTAGTTTACTAGTTATTATTATTATTATTTTTTTCCCCCTTTTCTTGTAAGACGGATTTCTCAGAGATGGCTGGACAGATTTTCTTGAAATTTTCAGGGATGGTGCAGATCAAAAATACGCTCAGACGTTTTTTTCATTTTTTCAAAATTCACTTCCTGTCGTCAGTTTTGTCCGATTTCCGCTTTTTTCAGAAATATTTTGTCATAGTCATATGTCAGAAACGGTAAGAGATTAAGACACCAAACTTATACGAGTAATAGATCTTGATAAGTAGGCGAGCCCAATTGGGTTAAGATCGTCCGGCGTCACTTCCGGTCGTCACAGGAAGTGTTCACAGAAATCGACAATTTCAACTTTTCTTTATTGAAACTTTTTTTGCATCATATTGTAGCATTTTATTTGTAGTTTCGAAATATGTCAGTCCCACCGGAAACAAAAACGACAACTTCCGGTTATAAGAGTAAAACTGCATATTTTCAGTATTTTTCTTTCCCATAAATATTTCTTATAGATAAAGTATTTGTAATGATTTTTGGATATGTTATTCAGACTGCAAACCTCTGCAGTAACGTCAAATATCTTTGTAAAATTTACTTCTGGTCGCGTGATTTCCTGTCCTAAAAATGAGAAGTTATCATAGCTAGATCTCAAAAACGGTAAGAGATTAAGACACCAAACTTATAGGTGTGGTAGATCTTGATGAGTAGGCAAAACCACTAGGAATAAGATCGTCCGCCGTCACTTCCTGTCGTCACAGGAAGTGATCACAGAAATCGAAAATTTCAACTTTTCTTTATGGAAACTTTTATTGCATCATATTGTCGCATTTTATTTGTAGTTTCGAAATATGTCAGTCCCACCAGAAACAAAAACTACAACTTCCGGTTATAAGAGAAAAACTGCATATTTTCAGTATTTTTCTTTCCCATAAATATTTCTTATAGATAAAGTATTTGTGATGATTTTTGGATATGTTATTCAGACTGCATATGTCTACAGTAATGTTAAATACCTTTGTAAATTTACTTCCGGTCGCATGATTTCCTGTCCTAAAATTGAGAAGTTATCATAGCTAGATCTCAAAAACGTCAAGAGATTAATACACCAAACTTATAGGTGTGGTAGATCTTGATGAGTAGGCAAAAACATTAGGAATAAGATCGTCCGCCGTCACTTCCGGTCGTCACAGGAAGTGATCAAAGAAATCAGAAATTTCAACTTTTCTTTCATGAAACTTTTCTTGCATCACATAATAGAATCCTATTTGTAGTTTTAAAATATATCAGTCCCACTGGAAACAAAAACGACAACTTCCGGTTATAAGAGAAAAACTACATAATTTGAGTATTTTTCATTCCCATAAATATTTTTTACAGATATAGTATTTGTGATGATTTTTAGATATGTTATTCAGACTGCATATATCTACAGTAACGTCAAATATCTTTGTAAAATTTACTTCCGGTCGCGTGATTTTAGTATCATACTATCCCATAGATACTTTTATAAAAAGTGTAATAGAAATGATTTTAGGACATGTTATTCAGACTGAAATGTCTAGAGTTACTTCAAATTTCTTTTCAAAAAATGTACTTCCGGTCACATGATTTCATTAAGTTAACATTACGAGATCTCTTAATCTGCAAGAGATCAAGACACTGAACTTACATGTATAATAAACCATAAAGATTGGGCACCAGATATAGGATAACTTGCGTCTGATGTCACTTCCAGTCGTCATAGAAAGTGATAAAAGAATTAATGAAAATGATTTTTGTAAATGTTATTAAGACTATAATTGTCTAAAGTAACGTCGAGAATCTTGGTAAGTTACACCTACGGTCGTTTGTTTTCTTGAAATCATTTTTAATATTATATGCCTTTTTAACATAGATAAAACCTCATTCATGCAGATAAATAGAGGAGAACGGAAGACCTTCCTTGTTGCTATAGCAACAAGAGTTTCTAGTTAACTTATATATTTATTCTGATAGGGTTTCTTCAGCTTCGTTCTTCAATCATCTAGATTTGAAATTCTCAGTTAAACTTAAGAAACTGGTAACTCGAACAGCTGATGTCATTAAATTGATAAAGGAAAAGTCCCCAGGAAAGTGTGGCATTGCGTATTGTCTTTCAAGGTTAATATTCTATTCCAAACTGGTATTTACTAAAAGAACTTACTACTAATAGATTTATCAACTCAAGAGGGGGTGCATGGCTTTACTGGTATAAACATAAATTCTAACAAAATTTACTCAGAAAAAAATGAGTCTACTAGAAATTGTAAACATTAATATAAGTAATAATAAATTCACCATTAACTTACAAAATAATGATTTTACTAGAAACTGTAAATCTAATTTTAACAACTCGGGTATGAATATTCTGAGAGCGTGGTCTGAGTGGGCTCCAATTTTTAACAAGGATCTGATTTTATAGGAAGGAGTGTGACACGTACAGTAGCTACAGAGCTGAGTAAATCTGGGACCCAGGCTGTATCCTACCACGCAGGTTTCAGTGACAACGACAGAATCTCTATCCAGGAAAAGTGGCTCAGTGGACAGCGATGTAAGGTACATGATCGGTCTAATACCACCTCTACCTCCCCCCCCCCCCCCCCCCCCCCAAAAAAATATGTTTTTAGACTTCATATTTATATTTCACCTTCCTGATGAAAAGTTTTGGGAACCATTTTTAATTTTACACTATAGAACCATTTATTTTACTCTATTTAAAAAAAAACTTAAAATAAGCAAATTCTAAGAATTGTGGTCTCCTGTTTTCGGTGTCTTTATGAGTCAAGATGTCATTCATTTTTATGGCATATTGTGTCAAATATGTACACCTTATCATCTGTCATTCAGATGTTTATTTATCCAAACACAACAGAATATAATTGAGAGCTCCAAAAATTTTATTCACAATACTATTAAAATATTTTACACATTTGCCTTGAGGGCTCATACAAGACAGCAGATTAAGTCAATATCCCAGCATCAGAACCAAATACTAGTTACATAACTGTAACAGTTGTATACTCCGAATCCTGCAGGCTGAGGGCATCTTGCCTATGTGAACATATGCTTTCTAGCAACTGTATAGCTGAAGGCAAGAAATGCTTGGACAATCTATTATGTATAAAAATGATATTGTATTTGGAAAATAAACAATGATTATATACATAATCAATATTAATCAGTGAAAGTGGGGGACAATTATGTATGTCAGTGTATTCTACTGGTGTCCCAAACTCTATTAAAATAAAGTCAAAACTGTAGGAATTGTTTACACACAGACAATCACATGAACTATAAATTAAATATAACTGCATTTCAAAGAGCCAATGTTGAAGGTATTTACATGCCTATCTAGACCAGGAAGTATAAACACCTGACAGGTAGATAAAGCAGGTGTGTCACGTGATTAGAGTGAATCGAGACTGCACTTGGAGATTGATCAACAGGACGGCCGCGATTACTGAAGTCTGGTAAGGAATTTAAAAGTTTTCAGAGTGTATGATTCTAAAAGTATTTAAAAATTCAGTATTACAATCTTTTACTTAGGGAAAAAAAATTTCCTTCCCACATTGAATCAATGAACCTTGTATGTTATATGATTTTTCTATGGACATGCTTATCTGCAAAGATTGTTTGTTTTCTGTATGTCGGAGTCCATGAAAATGCATGTTGCCTTCAAATTTATTGATTAATGTGTAATTCTTAATATATTGAATTGTTTATGCTTCAGTTACAAAATACCATGGATCCCCGTACCAGTGCCCAGGATGTGATACGATGTGATCTTTGTGAGACCGCTGTGGTACAAATGCACTGTGATACATGTTTTGTCAACCTATGTAAGGCCTGTGTGGGAGAGCACATCTCAACAGGTGAAACCAAAGATCACAAGGTCGTCAAATTTCAGGACAGAAAATCCACTCCCATTTACCCTAGATGCCCATCTCATGCCAAAGAGCGATGTGAAATGTACTGTAAACAATGTGACAATCCTGTCTGCAGCAGCTGCCTTGCATCTAAACAACATTTACGTCATGAATTATCTAAAGTTTTGCAAATTGTGGATGACAAAAAAGACATAATTAGGAAGGAAAGAAATGAATTAAATGAGAAGATTTGTCCAACCTACCAGGACATTGCCTCTGATGTACAAAACAGAATGAGTCAGTTAGAAAAGGAATATGGGGATCTCTCAACAGCCATAACAATACATGGAGAGGACTGGCACAGAGAAATTGACAGACTTGTCAAGAAACTTAAAGCTGAGATTGATGAGATGAAAAACACACAGATTCAAACTCTACAGAAACATCTGGAAGAAATAAACAAAAAAATGTCTGACATCAAGAAAGAAATTGATTCCATGGAAATTGCAATAGAAACCAATGACTTGTCAAAACTATTAAGTGTCACGTCCAATGTACACACATACAGAAATCTTCCACACAAAATCATTCCATTGTTACCCAAATTCGTTCCAGGAAAAATTCATCAAGAAGAACTTAATAAACTGTTTGGAGCCCTATCACCAAGTTCTTTATCATCAGATAAACATGGCTACAGCATGACGACAACACAGAAATCACCAGAAACTGGATCCTCTCCTCCAGTCAAACAGCTGCTTGATGAACCACAGACTGTCACCACCATAGACACTAGTAATCAGTATGGACTATACAATGTGGCCTGTCTGAGTGATGAAAAAATCTGGACAAGTGGAGGTGACAACACCATGAAACTCTTCAGCATCAATCAAGGATCACTACTCAAGTCAATCATAACCAAGTCAGGGAACGAACCATGTGACATAGCAGTGACAAAACGTGGGGATCTAGTTTATACTGATTACAGATATAGAACTGTGAACATTGTGAAGAAAGAGAAGATAAAGGAGATGATCAGACTACAGAACTGGAAACCTCAAGATGTCTGTAGTACCTCCTCTGGTGACCTCCTGGTTATCATGGACAGTGATGATGACAAACAAACAAAAGTTGTCCGTTACTCTGGCTCCACAGAGAAACAAACCATTCAGTTTGATGATAAAGATAAACCTCTTTATTCTCTTGATAGTTATAAAAAGTATATAACTGAGAACAAGAATCTTGATATATGTGTGTCTAACTGGGGAGCTAAAGCAGTAGTGGTGGTCAATCAGGCCGGGAAACTGAGATTCAGGTACACTGGACATACTCCTGCTCCAAAGAACAAACCATTCAATCCACAAGGAATCACCACAGACAGTCAGAGTCACATCCTTACAGCTGATGATAACAATCACTGTGTCCACATCATAGACCAGGATGGACAGTTCCTCTGTTACATAGTCTGTGGATTGAGTTTTCCCTGGGGACTGTGTACGGATACAAATGACAATCTGTTTGTTACTCAAGAGAGAAACAAACAAGTGAAGAAAATCAAATATCTGCAGTGAAATCTATGACCATTATAACAATAGAACATGACAATGATTTATTTCTAAAACGTCATAATATATCACTCTTATTATAACTATTTCTCACAGAAGGAACAGATGAATGTAAAGGAGCGGAGAGGTGAAGTTCTGTAATGCTCTTAGATTAAAAGCTCAGCTGAGTTATCATTGTAGAACTCAAAAGAAAAATGATTAACTTGTGTTCTTTTAATATAACAAATGAATAAATCTTCCTTTACAGTATGCACTGAATTCTTATTTTCACCATTTCCATGATAGTATGAATTTTGAAATTTAGATTAGATGTGTCTTTGTGACATGCAAGTTTCAATTGTATAAAAGTCTAAAAAGTGAATATAACAATGGATGGAATTCTACATAAACAAAATATCATATTATTACTTTTGTTTTCTAAAATAAGTCATCAATTCCGCAACATACTTAACGAGGCCGAGTCCAATTTGAGTGCACATGACTTTGCGCAGCTTTTTAGTTTCATGTAGTCATTTGTGCGACAATACACCTTTGCTAAATATTTTGATTTTAATCAAAAATTAACATTATCTGTAACCTCTACTTGGTCTGAATATGTTATTTTACGACAATAATTAGAGAAAAAACCCCGCTGAAATGGCTCTAACGACGTCACCATTTTCGGATTTTGTAAGCAATGCATGGCGCTGAAGAATCACGCATGGCTCGCTTGTATGTTGTAAGACGTCCATGCATATTATACTAAAAACTGATGTCAGTACATCCTAAGAAACATGTAAACAATCTAAACATTGCTAATTTTTACCGAAAAAGTCATATGCGCCGATAATTCATCTGCACTGATATGTATTTATTCCATAATATGGCAAATTTAGAGGTGTTGGGCTTTGAAAAAATAAACTTGGTAATTTATTCCTAGACCAACATAGATGATGAACTTTTTTGAAATTTTGCTACTTGGTGACTTTTTATGATAACTTTCATCTACTTGAATGAAAGAGAAATATCTAGTGCAGAAATACTAAAAATTTGGGGAAAATTTGATACTATTAATTTGGCGTTTTTCCAACAGATTCCCATAGGGTCCAAAAGTAAAATTTGACAACTTTTGAGATGGTCGCCTTAGAAATCGGGATGGTATACATTGGATATGTTAATCTTAAAACAATAAATAAATATCACAGTAAAAATTAATTATATAAAAAAATTATCAAAATCCCTAGGCCAGAAATAATTAGACTCGGCCTCGTTGAGCAGCATGAAAGAGTACTTCTTAGTAATCACTTCCAAGCACTTAGTAATAAACGTTTCTCTCCAAAAGGTAAATGTCTATGTTAGGGATGTCAGAATATTTATTTTCTTTAGTTGAATATTTGATTGAATTATTTAAACGATAGTTGAATATTTGGAACATTTTCTGATTTTTTTTTCAAACTCCACTGGTACATGACATATTTATAACTGAAAAACCCCTTGGCCTCAATCTAAAAAGTAACATTAAAAAAATCATAATTATATAGTCATCTATAGCCCGTGTGGCACAGTGGTTAGAGCTAGCGCTTCTTCCCAAGAGTGGCAAGGTTAGAAGTTGATCCTCACGTCGTGGTTTGAATCCCACTATGGTACTTCGAGACTGGTCCTTCGGATGAGACTGTATAAATCGAGGTCCCGTGTCGCAGTATGTGCAATGCTGGCACGTAAAACATCCTTTCCTGCTCAATTGCCCCGAATACAGAGTGTAGGAAAAAAATTGCAACCGTCCACTTGCTAGTGGTGGCGTCTCAATATAAGTGAAAATTTCTCAAGAGGGACGTTAAACAACATACAAACAAAGAAAATATAGTCATCTTTAAGTTGGTCCTCCTATATATAAGTTATTTTTTAGCTCAGCTGAGCTGAAGGTTCAAGTGAGCTTTTCTCATCAAAATTTTATCCGTTGTCTGTCGTCGTGGTTTGTCGGAAACTTTTCACATTTTCAGCTTCTTCTCAAACACTGGGAGAATTTCAACCAAACTTACAGCAAAATATTTTTGTGTGAAGGGAATTCAGGTTTGTTCAAATAAAGGGCAAATCCTTCTTCCATGGGGAGATTATTATGAATTCATGAAAATTAATGGCATCTTTTTAAAACCTTTCCTCAAGAAACACTAAGTCAGAAAAGTTAAAACTTATGTGGAAGTATCCTGGGGTAGTGCAGATTTTAAATTGTTCAAATCATGACTCCTTGTGTAGGGCAGAGCCAAAATAGGTATTACAAGGGGGGGGGGGGGGGGCTGGTGAAGTATTTAATTGTTAAACCATTCAGCTGAAAGTAGAATAGTCAACTATTTGTTGATATCTAAAAAATAATAAAATATATTTTATTAATTTGGACAATTTGTTTCCAACCAAAGCACCTAGACTCTATATGTATTTTCAGGTTATATGTGCCACCATTGCCTTTGGAATGGGGATTGACAAACCTGATGTCAGATTTGTTATTCATTACTCCTTACCGAAGTCAGTGGAGGGATTTTATCAGGAGGCGGGGCGAGCTGGGAGGGACGGACTGCTAGCCCACTGTATAATGTACTACACGTACCAGGACGTCAAAAGACAGAGGAGGATTATAGAGAGTAAGTAGGGGGGTCTGTTATAATGTACTACACGTACCAGGACGTCAAAAGACTGAGGAGGATTATAGAGAGTAAGTAGGAGGGTCTGTTATAATGTACTACACGTACCAGGATGTCAAAAGACTGAGGAGGATTATAGACAGTAAGTAGGGGGGTCTGTTAGAATGTACTACACGTAACAGGACGTCAAAAGACTGAGGAGGATTATAGGGAGTAAGTAGGGGGGGGGGGTCTGTGGAAAAATGATATTCTTTATACATGTATGAGGGTCTTTATATAAACTGTACATATTGGAAACATGTTTAATTTTATTCAAAATCAAACAACCACAATTTTGACTTTAAATCTTAAATGTTGAGTATGTTTTGTTTTTTTCACAGTGGATCAGGCAGCCACATTTGATTCCAAAAGAGTTCATATAGACAACCTCTTCAGGATGGTACAGTACTGTGAGAACGTGGCAGACTGTCGACGATCACAGCTGCTTAATTACTTTGGAGAGAGAGACTTTAATAGAGAGGAGTGTAGGAATTTCCGTGGAGCCATTTGTGACAACTGTGTGTCTAAGGTTATTTTTATTTTTTGTTATGCCCCCCTTCGAAGAAGGGAGGGCATATTGCTTTGCTCTTATCTGTCGGTCGGTCTGTCGGTCCATTAGTTTCCGTTTATTTTCTTCACAACCGTTGCAAAATACTGAAATAAAATTTGGTTTACAGGTTCATCAGGTAAATATCTAGGTCAAATTCTTTTTTGGATACGATCGCACCATTTTGACAGAGCTATGCCCCTTGGACTTAAAAGAAAAATTCCACTGTTCATTTTCTTCACAGAAGTTGCACATATTGAAATGAAATTTGGTATACAGATTTATGAGCAGAATATCTAGGTCAAGTTCTGTTTTGTGTACGATCGCACCATTTTGTTAGAGTTATGCCACTTGGACTTTGAAAAATTCCACTTATTTGCAGTTTTTATTCATTTCTTTGCAGAGGTTACACATATTCAAATGAAATTTAGTATACAGATATATCAGATAAATATCTAGGTCAAGTTCTGTTTTGGGTACGATTGCACCCTTTTTGCTAGAGTTATGCCCCTTCAACTTAGAAAAATTCCACTTATTTGCAGT